TTGTGCCTGGCTAGAAGTCGTATCTCTGGTCTCGTATTATGCTCTCCATTATCCTCGGGGGTGTTATGTCCAGAGGATCGCTGCCAATGACAAACAACCCCATGGCATTCTCATCACGGCGTCTACTTTCTCCTTGAGAGTTCCCTTGTCCTTAGTGCTAACAAACTCGGGGTTTGAGTGGAGCGTGAGCATGAGGTCCTTGAATGGTCCCTTCTGCTTTGTGGAGATGTACAGCCCAAGGGACATTGCAAGAGAGCATATTTGAAATAGGAAGAAATAAGAGAAGTGATAAGAATAGAGGATATGCAAGTAGTAAGGAGGGGTAGGCGGTAAGTGATAGTGATGAAGACTAACTGAGGGAGATATTAGGTGGGTAATGTAATAATAAACATAACTAAGCAACTGATAACTAAGTAAGTAATATAAATAAGTAATATTGAGAGATTACTAAGCAGTGGTTCCTAGGTAGTACAAAGGCAGTGAGTTGTGTTATAGTATTAAATAAGAGATATAGAGTTTTGATATGTAGTAAGATATATAAGGATATGTGGGAGGTGAGTGGGAATAGAAAAGGTAGAAGAGTTATGGAGGATTGATGGAAAGATGAGTAGGATCAGACAAGGGATTAATAGATGAAAGAAAGTGTCGGAGGTATGGAACAGGACAATCTATAGAGGAAGGTAAGAAGAAGTGGGATAGAAGTAAGAGAGATCAGGAGGAATGAGAGGAATGACAGGGGAAAATAAAAATTTAGGAAAAATTATTTAGAAAAATTTTAGGGGAGAAAGCTGGGAAAGCAGCAGCGAGGAGTGGTTGCAGGACTTCCGGCCGGTGGGAATTTCCGCAGAAGCGGAGCGAATGTTCCACAGAGGTGGCCAGAGTGGAGACACCGGACAGAACGAGACGTGTGGCTTGAGAGTACCAGAGAGGGGATGGAGAAGTATGGAAGAGAGATAGAGATTAAGAAGGATGCAGGTTGATAGGGGAGCAAGTAATACTGGAAGACCAAGAGATGGAAGTTTGATAGATAGATGTACATGGAGGGTAGAGAGGAATTGGTAGGAGAGAAGTAGAAGGATATTGAGTAGTGAGATGGTAGATAAGAGTAAAGAAGAGAGCAGGAATAGGATGATATATAGAAAGTGATTGATGTAGAAGATATAAGTGGTAGGGAAGAGAGAGGTATTGTTGGAAGGCGGACTAGGTAGGTTGGGATATGGACAGGTGAGTGATGATATGCATGAGTGATGAGTTAGAGCAGGATTCTCGCGAGCAATGATGGATGTTCTAAGATACTATTGCAGTATTGAGTACCACATCCGATGGGTCCTCTTTTGCCATGCCACCCTAAAGATTCAGAACTTTTTAAATGGCCAGAGGATACCGTCATTCCGGAACAGGACCCACTAAGATAGATGCCCACATATGTTGACAACATATGTTGATGTATGGCAACGATGAGATGTGTATTATTGTAAGAGAAATGGGGACGTAGAAATATAAGTAGTAAAATATAAGTAGTATATGAGGATCAACAATAAACGAAGGGGTGGGAAGAGTTAAGAAGGTTGGTACTAAGAGGTATGGAGGGGATATTGGGGAAGAAGGCCAGCGGGATTGAGAATAGTAAGTATGTGGTAGTAAAGGAAGTGAAGAATAAGGAAAATAAGTGGTGAGGAGATAAGAAGGTAATTGATAAAGGGGAAGTGATGAAGACTAAGAGTGAGTAAGGAGACTACTAATAAGGTAAGAGACTAAGTGGTAAGAGACTGATAAGAAAGTAAGATTAACTAAGTAACTATAAGTAAGTGACTACCAAGTAACAGAACCTAGCTAGTATAATGCCTTAGTTAGGTATGGGATAGATAGAAGATACGTCATAGTATTGGCTAGTTTAGTTAGTATGAGTAAGGAATATAGGTGAAGACAGAAGAATAAGGAGGATCTATAAGGACTAAATAAGTAAGAAGGAAAAGTAAGGGAAGAGAGATTGGTGAAGATGAGGAATAAGCAAAAGAAGGGAATAATAGGGAAGGTAGGGATAGTGGTAAAGATAGGAGATAAAGATGATGGTAGCTGAGTGATATAAACGACTATAAGAGAGGAGGAGTGAAGAATAAGGGCAGTAAGAAAACCAATAAGAAGGACTAAGTAGGTGATAAGAAAGGTAAAGATAAGAGTAAGTAAGGTAAGTGAGATGGGTGATGCTAAGGTGAGGAGAAGGTGGGAAATTAATGGCAAGGAAGTGAGAATAAGATTAAGTATAAAGTAAGAAATGTGTAGGGATTTTAGTATGGATGTCAGTAAAAATTATAGTAAAAATTATAGGGGCTAGAGGAAAAGTAGAAGAAGGGGAGGAAGGAAGAATAAGTAAGGAATAAAGAACAAGTTAATATAAGAAGACAGACTAGCTAATGATAAGAATAAGTAAAGAAAGTAGTTAGTACTAGATATTAAGTGTAAGTGGTAGGGATTATGGTGGTAAGTTATGTAGGGATTTAGGAAAAATTTTAGGAAAAATTTTAGGAAAAATTTTAGGAAAAATTATAGAAGCTAGAGGAAGGAATGGAAGTGAAGGTAGGGAGCTAAGACTAAGGAAGTAATAAGGAAGGAAGATTAACTAGGAAGTGTAAGATGAGTAAAGGTAGGGTAAGTAAACTAAGAAAGTAATAAGTAAGGAATAAGTAAATAGAAAGTGATAGGGAAGTAATAAAAGTAAGGAATATAAGGGATAATAAGATAAGCAAGTGATATAAGGCAATGAAAGGAATGTAAAAGAGGAATATATGGAAAGAAGATGCTAGATAGGGATAGAAGTAAAATAAGTAAGGAAAGAATAGAAAAATGGGAGTAAGTGATATAAGGAAGGTAACAGGAATAATAGGTAAGTGAGTAAGGAGGTAAATAGCAGACAATAGTAAGGTAAGTAATAAGGATAGAATAAGAGTAAAAAGACAGACCAAGCAACTAAAGGTAAGATACTATAAATAAGGAATAAATAATGAATATAGTAGTAGTAAGGAATAATAAGAGTAGGTGATAAGAAGGAAGTAGTAAGAAGACTAAGTATAAGTAAATAAGTAAGAGGTAAGGAATATCAATAAGAGTAAGTAATAAATAAGTAAAGGTAAGAGAATAAGTAGTATAAGTAATAATAAGTACGAGAGAACAAACTAAGAATAAGTAGGAGGTGATGGAGATAAGGTAAGAGAGTGATATGAGTAGTAATAGGGTAAGGAAGTGATATAAGTAAGACTAAGTGATAGTAAGAGACTATGAATAAGGTAAGTAAAATAAGGAAGGAATAGTAAGGGAAGTAGAGACAGCTAAGAAATAAATAAGAAATGAATAGAATATAGGCAAGTGATGGATAGGATAATAAAAGACTAAGTAATAGTAAGGTAAATAAGTGGTATGAGTAGCAATGGGGGAATATAAGTAATAAGTAAGAGATATAAGGTAAGAGGAATAATAGAAGATTGAGTATAGAAGTGATGGGTAGGATAGCTAGATGTTAAGTGTAAGAGGTAGGGAGGATGTGAAAGGGATAAGGATATGGCAGGGATTATAGTGGGAAAATTATAGGAAAAATTTTGGGGGCTGGGCTTGCTTATTATTACTCGTCTCTTACTATTAGTCTGCCACTGAGTATCTCTTGGTTCCTTATTAGTTTATTTACTTGTCTGTTAGTTATCCCCACATCCCCTACTACTTAGTCTCTATACTTATTATCTTGTTTTTATTACTTATCTAATATTCCCTTGTCTTCCTTATTTTACTTACCACTTGGCTCTTCCCCCATCTTCCTCTTTTACTATTCCATTTATTTACCCACCTTTACTTATCTTATAAGTAGTTGGTTCCCTGTCTTACTCATCTTCTTCCTTAGTCTTAGTTCCCTACCTTCACTTCCATTTTTCCTTAGTGATCCTCTGTCTTATTCATCCCTCTCTACTCTTTTCCTCCTAATGACTAAAGTAGCAAGGGAAGTGGGGCTAAGTAAAATACGGAATGAATAGAAAGATAAGAGTAAGTGATCAGACTAATAAGGAATGATATTGGGAAGCAAGGTGGTATAAGTAAGTATAAGGTAAGAGGTAGTAATAAGAGGAGGTAATAGAGAGATATTAGAAATAAGTGGGAAGGGAAGTGATAAGTGAGTATAAGGTAGGAGATATAAGGGAGTTGGAGAATAAAGTAATAACAAGTAGGAAGGTAGTAAGTAGTATAAGTAAGGGAGGTGATGATAAGTAGGAATAAGCAAAATAAGGGAAAGGTATCGAACTAACAACTAAGTAAGAGGTAAGGAATAAGGAAGGAGATATTAGGGAGGTAAGAGATAAGGAGGTGACTAACTAACTGATATGAAGAAGAACTACTAAGTAAAGTGCTAGGTGATAAGTAAGGAGAGTGAGAAAGGAAAGACAGAAGCGAGGTCAGGGGGGAATAAGGTGGTGATAAGAAGGGGTGGGTATATGGTGAGGAAAGAAGTAGGAAGAGATGATACGGTAAGAGATTAAATAAGAATAAATAAGATTAATAGGTAAGTATAAGAGATGGTAAGGGGAGGGTATAAGTAAAGATAGGGAGTAAGAGATGATAAAGTAATAATAAGGTAATGTGAGTAGTGATATGAGTAGTGATAAGGTAAGAGAGTAAAAGAGAGTAAGGAAGTGATAATAAGGTAAGTAATATGAATGAT